GGGAGGACGGGCGCTGGCCGCGGAGGGCGCTCGGGGCTCGCCGTGGACCCGGGAGGGGGTCGGAGTCGAGGGAGGGACACCGCCGGCCGTTTGCGAGCGCGGCCGCCGCGCCGAAGTTCGCGCATCGCTGCTCAGCCTGAAAGAGGCGGGGGCCTTCGCTTCCTGAGAGTTGGAAAAACCCCCATGCGGCGTCCACTTGCCGGGAGTTCAGCGGAACGGTGCGGCGAGTAACGGGAGGGAGCTTTTTCTGAAGCCTGGGACGCTCCCCCGCATACTTTCCAATCCTTTGTATTGAGAAGGGAAGTTACCGTGAGAGGGACGCGAGCTTGGGGCATGGCTGCGCTTCCGTGGAATTAGGACTCTGGGGGCCCCAGAAGCAGCGCTGGAGCCCAGAGGTGTGTCGGCTCACGTTCTGGGCCGACGTGGAAACCTAATTAATACCACCTCGGGTGATAGGCGTTAACCAGCGTGCATCTCTAGCAACAGGAAGGGACGCTGTCTAAAGATTGGGATGTTTGGGTAGAGCTGGCCTCAGAGAGTTGGGTGTTTGAGGCCCCTACTTTCCATATGCGCCTGCCCAAAATAATTATTTAAGGACAGACCTTCCCCCTCCCCATCCCGAGGTTTTTACCTTTGGGCCTATGGAGGTTGGGGGGTGGGGAGGTGGGAGAGACAGAGACAGAGAGAGAGTAAGGAATCGCTCCCCGGGGGAATTGCTCCACCGCAATCCCTTCTCCATTCCTTTTCCCAGCATCTTGGCACACACCTGGTGTCATTTTTTTCTTTGTTTTTTAAATTATTTTATTTAACTTTATTAATTTGACCAGAGAGGGGTAGAATGAGAGAGAGAGAGAGAGGGAAAGTGAGAAAGCAAGCCACCAGGTCCAGGACTTGAACCGAGGTTGGCCGTGTTGGGAGTCCAGTGACAACCACTATGCGGTGCTATGCCATGTGCCAGGCCCCACTCAAGGACAGACCCTAACAAGGAATTCACTGATTAGCTGGTCTTAAAGTAACAGTACCTCTGAGTTAGCACAAACTGCATGTTCATTGTAACCCCACCTCCTACCTGAAGGTTTGATTCTAAGGTGTATGCTGTATGGAACATCAAAAAGCCAATTAGAAACTTGCACTGGTCTTGCAAACTAATTGTGAGTTCTTAGATGAAAATAAACTTTTGCAACCTTCCACTCCTGTCATTTCCCCTGTAAAAGAAAACTCTGTACTTTGCCATTGGGAGCATCAGCTACAGTTTTCAGGGTCCTTTGTTCTCAGATGGCCACCTGCATACTTGGGCTTGAATAAACCTTTTTGCTTGCCTGACAAGCTCAAGTCAGACATCTGTATTTCAGGTTGACGGTGTTCATTGTCACTAGACTTCATAATAACACTGCTGTGCAAATGTTATTCCCGTTTTTTTTTTTTTATTTAATGTTATTTATTATTGCTGTCATATATTTAACTTGACCAGAGAGAAAGTGAGAAAGCTAGCCACCAGGTCCGGGACTCAAACTGCTGTCAGCCATGTAAGAGTCCAGCACCCCAGCCACCACACCACCTGCCAGCCCCATATTATTCCCATTTACAATGTAGAAAACTGAGACTAAAAGAGATTAAGTGATACCTTTGCCTTACTGACAGATATGTTTAGTATGAGAAATGCATCAGTAAGGGATGGCTTGTTATCGATAACAAACCACTTAGCTGCGCTATTTCTGCTTCTGTGAAGTGGAAGTATTAATAGTTTGGTTGTAGAACACTCTCACTAATGTGTGGCTTTCTGGTATGGGATCTAGTCCTATTGAATTATATGCTTGTAAATGGGTTTTTTTGTTTGTTTTTTTTTTTAAGAGAGATTTTTGCTATACAGTACATGTTCTTGCCGGAGAGACCGAGACAGAGACAGAACGCAAGAAATCACCCCTCCCAGTGGGGATGACCACACTGCAGTCTCTTCTCTTTCATTCTCTTCAGGATTTTAGGTACAAATGAACATGTGCCCAGGGTGAATTTTAAGCAGTCAGTCCAGGACTTGAACCACTGTCGACTACATGGGAGTCCAGTGAAGTAACCATTACTCCATCTGCTGACCCCAAGATTTAAAAAAGAAATTATCACTGTCACTATTATTATTATTATTAATTTGCTGTAGGGCACATGTGCTTACCAGGGAGAAAGTCAGAGAGAGGGAAAGTGCGGAAGTTAGTAAGTGAGCCACCAGGTCCAGGACTCATACTATTGTCGGCCATGTGGGAGTCTAGTGCCTTAACCACCATGCCACCTGTTGGGCCCAGGAATAAGGTTTTAGGAACTGGTTTCAGTAAAAGGAAACAATTATATGGCCCAGTCACATAGTCAACAGTTTATCTGTGTTACTACTTTTCTTCACTAGTGTGAATAATTGAGGAATGACTAAAAGTTTCCTGATAGCATTAAAGTATATTAATTTTTCAGACAGTTTATCCAAGGCCCATGTTGCTTATATTAAATAGTTGTAAGAAATTAGCACTTAATTGACTTTTAGTTGGTTCTTTTTATTAAAGTGTTTTTTGTAAAGACATGTATGTATGTTTCCTTACTTACATGTTTGTTTATTTGTTGCCAGAGAGCGAGCATCCTCTAAGGGATGTGATGACATTGTAATTCCTTCTCCATTTCTCCATCTTGTTAGAATTTTGACCATATGTGCACACACACCCAGCATGTTTTTCAAGCCATTGAAACCAGGATTCAAACTGTGGTTGGCCGCATGGGATCTCTCTCTCCCTTTCATAAGACCATAGGACCAGCCCTTTATTTTTATAATGACTTTATTTCTTTCTTTCAGGAGCAAGAAAGATGAGAGAATGCAAGCATCCCAGACTCTTGACACTGTAATCTACCCCCAGCCTCAGCCAGCCCTGGATCATGGGCACACATATGCTTGGTGTGTTCAGGGAGGTCTCTAGACTCGAACCCAGAACCTTCCCATGTCAGCCTTGCAGAATGTGTCTCCATCTGGCCCCTGTTTATTTTCACTTGTGTGAAGTTTTACCTGTTGGAGGAAGTGTTCTATGGTCATTGTGCACTATAAAGCTGACTCTAGAAACCTCTCTGTCCCTCCACTCTGTTACTTCATTCACCGTTTCCCGACCTGATCCGACATTGCACATTTATGTAATGCTTCATTGAATTGAGTCTCTGCTCTGTGTAATTAATTTTACAGAAAAGGAAACCTTTTCCTCGAGAAAGACTTGAGACTCGCCCACATTTCACATCTTAGATCAGGAACAAGAGCTTAAATCAGAATCATTTTAGGTTTTTCCTTCTGCATCTGGAGATAGCCTGACCTCAAAGCTTTAATTCTGTTGTCAAACAGTGTCCTGGTGGCTGTTGCTATGTGTAAACTGAGAGTGGTTTGGAATGTTGGGATCACTTCTTTTTTTTTTTTTAATTAATTAATTAATTAAATTTTAATTTGGCCAGAAAAGGACAGAGCTGGAGAAAGAGAGGGAAAGTGAGAAAGCAAATCGCCAGGTCCAGGACTCAAAACTGCAGTCAGCCATGTGGGAGTCCAGGGGTCCAGCGCCCTTAGCCAACTCTCCACCTGCCAGCCCCAGGGATAACTTCTTCTTAAGTACTAATGTTTCTTGGGGACTCACAGTGTACCAGGGGCTCTTTCCACTGTCCTGTCAGTCAGAGAGTATGTAATCCAGCACTTCCATCGATCAGGAAACAGCCCTCAGCATTGCAGTGATTTGTCCAAGGTCATTCAGCTTTCAGGTAGCAGAGAGGAGGAGTGAGCTCAGAGTGCCCGCTCTCATAGACTGCATGACCTTCAAGTACGTCTGAGAAATGCCGCGTTACAGTTTCCTTACTGTAGGACTATTTAGAACTTTTTTTCTTTAGAAGGTTGTATTTTCTCTCTTTTTAAAAAATTTTATTGATTGATTTTTAATTTTGACCAGAGCAAAAATAGAAGAGAGAGCGGGCAAGTGAGAAGGCAAGCTGCCAGGTCTATGACTCAGACTGTGGTCAGCCATGGAAGAAGCCAACACCTTAACTGCCACGCCACCTGTTGGCCTCTTCAGAGCATTTAATATGCTCCTATGAAAGGACCACCCATCCAAGAATATGTGGGGAAAAAAAACTTTACTTGCAAAGTGTTATGGAGGAGCCAGGTTTCCCAATGACTGTCTTGTCAAATAAAAAGTAGAACAGGTGTCGGGGCCAGCAGGTGGTATAGTACTGAAGGCTCTGGATTCTCACGTGGCCTCCTGTGATTCGAGTCCTGGACCTGCTGGTTTGAAACTCACACTGGGCACATGTGCATGCATGCACAAAATCTCAGGAGAATGGAGAAGGGATTGTGGCGTGGCCATCCTCACTGATGGGTAATTTCTTGCTTTCTGCCTCTCTAGCAAGCACACACAGCCTATAGCAAAAATCTCCCTCTTAAAAAGAAAAGAAGGGGGACCAGCAGTTGTCGCTGGACTCCCATGTAGTCGACTGCGGTTCACGTCCCGGACCCAGTGGCTTAAAACTCACGCTGGGTGCGTGTATGTGCGTGCCCAAGATCCTGAGAGGACAGAAGAGAAGAGATTGTGGCGTGGCCACCCCCCCCCGGGGGGTGATTTCTTGCTTTCTGTCTCTGTCTCTCTTCTGTGTCCGGCAAGCACACGCACCCTATGGCAAAAACTTCAAAAAAAAGAAAAGAAAAGGTACAAGCAGTGGGCGTAATGGCTTTGTCGCTGGACTCCCGTGTAGTTGACTGTGGTTCGAGTCCCGGACCCAATGGCTTAAACTCAAGCCAGGTGCATGTGCTTGCGAGCCCAAGATCCCAAGAGGAGAATGGAGGAGAAGGGATTGTGGCGTGGCCATCCCCCCAGGGGGTGATTTCTCG